ATGTTGGTCCCTGCCATCACAGATTTTAAGGCTAAAGTCACCTGAATGAAATTTGCTGAACCATTGTTGACACCAAACGTTCAAAACATTTCCATAAACTTTTTGATATTCTTTGTGGCTACAGAGGCATTGTTTCCATTCTTGTATTCAAACAGCATTACATGCAGAATGTATGTGTTTCATCATGTGCCATTTGTGTTTTTGTGTTACAATCTGTAGTCATTCTAGAAAGAAAAAAGCATAATTTAAATTAATTTCCTAATTTTTTTATGGTGGTTACGAAGCCGGTTAGACCCCATAGAGTTAGGGTAGAGAAAATAACCCAAAAAAATATAAAGTTTTCACAAAAACAAACATTTGAAATGTATTTAGGAGGTTTTAGAGATTAAACAAATAACACTAAAAGTTTTTTGGGACAAACAAGTTTTTTAGTTGTAACATGAAAATCACTTCACACTTTGGACTGGTAATGAAAGAGACTCAATATTTTCACAAACAAATCTATAAAATACTTCATTAAAAAATCTAATTTTTTGTGTACAAAAGACTTGTAATCTTTAGTAAAAAGTTTACCAAATTTTGTGAAGATACATTTACTGAATTAAAAGTTATAACTTAAATACTTAACTCGTGTATATTACACTGAGCCTGTCCTGAAGGGTTAAAGGTGTCTAAATCTCAACAAATTCATTTAAATCTTGCACAAAATGATGTTTTGATCTCAAACTTTGAAACTACTCAGCTGAAAAATTGTAAACCCAGGCATTACGTTTCCTCTTCAAAGTATATGTTTGTCATCTTTGTTGACTCCATTACTAAGTATTTTTGTATTAAATGAGGTACAAGCATGGATTGGTCTTTTTGTACAACCTTAGATTCTAGAATTGTTGAACTGGGTTTGAATCCATATCATACCACAAAATATTCCTTGCATTTTAAGCTGTGGATGCACTATTAGATTATTAGAATGACTGTCAACTCCTTAGTGGATAGGATGCTGATAAGTGACTGCTTTAGTTTTGGACAGTAATTCAAATTTAGAGATGACAGCAGATAGCTTTAGTAGCTGTGCCTTAAATACAAATGAAGTACAAAAAATACAGATGTTTTAAACTAATGTACTTTCCTTAAATAGCTGTTACCCTTTATTATTCTAAGACATACAATTAGAATTTCCTTCTTTTGCTTTAGGTTTTAATTTGGGATCATGACAAATCTTAATGGTACATTCCTAAAGTTAATTATAGAAGATTCTCTATTAGCATCCATGATGACAAGGAACCCATTTGAAGTAAAAATATATATATATGCAGTAGAGACAGCTAATGTGGGTATTAAAACCTTTTATTTAAAAACACAAAACAAGTAACAATGTTTTGACCTCCTTAGGTCATCATCAGGTTAAGAATGTATTTAAGTCTTGTTCCATTTATTTTGATTTGTTATGTGTTGTTTAACTTTAATATAAGCTGTTATAAATTAAAAAATAAAATTTGATTTTTTGTTTTTCAATATTATATTATTTGAAAGGAAATTATATACAGTTTCTGTTTATGATAAAATAAAAAATAAAATGTTTAGGTTAAAGATTCCTGGTTACATACTAAATTACTCTAATTTTTATTTGCCCATTTTTCAGGTTACTTAGCAAAATTTTTATGTATGACATGTCTTTTCCTCGAGCTTCCAAATGTTTGGCTCTTGCCCCAAAGCGTGACCCTTTCATAAGGGAAGTCTTACCCACTCTTACACTTCTAACTGTAGAAAGTGTAGATAGCAATCAGAGTACTCCAGATTCTGACCCGTCTGATCTAGATAATAAAGACTTGATGGTATCAACTCCAAAGAGTATTTCCACTGATAGCTTTATCCATAATTCACACTTGAACTGTATCAATGGTCTTGAACAGCCAGAGGAGAGGAAGAAGGCTGCAAATCTTTGTAAAATTGGTAAGTGTTTTTTTATTATTTTGATTAGAAATGTGACTGGCTCTAAATATTGATTTCATTTATGGTGCTGTTCTAAAACAATCCTGATTAAGCTAATAGACTAAAAAACAGTTATAAGAGTAACTGAATATGTACAGATTGGTCCAATAGACCAATCTGGTATAAGAGAAGGAATGTTCACTATAATTTCAAATTAGCAAAATGTTTCTTCACAAAATGTGGCAAACTTTCAGTCGACAGTACAAACCTGTTGTACTAAAAAATCTGATGAGTTACTAAAGTTTTGTACTGCAGATATATATATATAAAATGCTGAAGTCAGTCTGACTCAGACTCTGACAAGTCTTATTGCAAGATGATGTTCATGTGAAGAATTAAAATACTTTTGTTCATTATGCAATTTACAAGTTGAATTTTCATGACCTTTACAACTTCCTAAATGCATATTTACAGTTTTTATCAGCATCTCTTTATATTGTATCTGGTATATTCTCTACTTTAACACAAAATTTTATGAAATAAGCAATGTAAGGTAACACAAAAAGTTAATAACCTTGACATCATACTTATAACACCATGTTGAATGGGATTCTGTACAAGATCATGGTATGCACACTTTGACTCCCACCTATAAATTAGCAGTTTTTTAGACTTAAAAGAAGTAATTTAGATTTAATCCACATTTGTTGAATAGATTACTGGGATTCAGATGTAGAGATTGCATTAATCCATCAATGTTTTACCATGAGTGAGAATCAGAATTTTACTCTTGACTTTATAAGTTCAAAAGACTTGGTAATGCCAGTTGCAGAGAAACAGTTTTTGCCACTGGTATGCTCTTTTTAATTGCACTGTAATGTGTATCTCAAAATATTCACAAGAAAATTAAGTGGCTATTCGTGGAATTTCTATAAGAAGTATCCAAAACAAAATGGCAAATTTAGAATGCTTCATTATGTTTGACACGTCTTTTCCTCGAGTTTCCAAATGCAGCTAGGTAGGTAGAATAGGCTAGCCCCACTGAGGTGATCAAGTAGGTAGTTAGGTAGAATAGGCTATCCCTTCTGATGTTATCAGGTAGGTAGTTAGGTAGAATAGGCTATCCCTTCTGATGTTATCAGGTAGGTAGTTAGGTAGAATAGGCTATCCCTTCTGATGTTATCAGGTAGGTAGTTAGGTAGAATAGGCTATCCCTGCTGATGTTATCAGGTAGGTAGTTAGGTAGAATAGGCTATCCCTTCTGATGTTATCAGGTAGGTAGGTAGTTAGGTAGAATAGGCTATCCCTTCTGATGTTATCAGGTAGGTAGGTAGTAGATGAAAAAGTTGCTGTTTTAGAAATTTTTGAACTATTATACAGGAAATGTAGCAACCTTTTTAGCATATTATTAGTATATATGTGCATAATATATCGTAACAAATACTTTGAATGGTCAACTTTTTTATTAGGATTTCAGTAGGTTGGTTTTTTGGCACATGAATTATTTGGAAACCTTTGTCGATTCCTACTGTTAAGTACTATTGTACATAATAATAAATGTGTGTTTGCACAAATTATACTGAGGTTAATTTGTTTAATTCGGCTCACAAAAACAGTTGCTAAATTTCCAGATATCATTTTAGTAACCTGTTTTTTAATCTTTCAGACAATTATGTTTAGTCTTAAATTGAGCTTGGCTGAACACGGTGTATGTTAAACTCAATTTTAATGTTTAGAATATCATGTCATTTACTTAGTTCGCTATGTGGTCTTGTATATTTATTCATATATTTATGCCAATTTCTCAAAATATATTTTATCAAGTTTTTAATTTGATCAGAAGATGAATTGAGACTGGTTCATCAGAGCTGTCACTTCCATATCTACGTTAACTTTATTGATATTGAAAATTTTTAAATGTCGATGAGCAGATTAGGCAAAAAATATGTTCTAAAGGAACATCATTAATCTTTTTCCTTTAAATAATTGCATAGAAAATTTCCTAGCTTCATTAACATTATTCTTTATTTCAAAACACTAAATATTTGGGATAAAATTCAAGTGTTTTTTTACTTTGACTCATTACCAGTTTTCTGCCCTGCATGATATAATTTGTCTGTTTTTTGAGACATTGTTTTTCTCCATCATTATAAGTTATACTCATTTGTTATTTCAATCAGGATGAAATAACTAGTTTGATAACTTTTTTTGTCTCAAGTGCTGTTGTTGCTATTGCGACATAGCTCTTGTGTGTTCTCTCTCTCTATATATATATATATATATGTAGGTATGGAAGTCAACTGAATTAAAAAACAAGTAACAGTCCAATGGATGAAAGTATCAATTAGAGAGAGAGTTTTGCTTCTGATCATCATTCTTTTCAAGAGTTCCATGTGTAATTTTTTCGATGCTTGCAATATCTACTCGTACTTCTAGTGTGGTCTGACATTGATGTAACCAGAGTGGATACTTATGACTTTCTCACTGACTCTGTTTTGTATTACTCCTTCATCCAGATTTTTGAGAGTCATCTCAGATATTTGTTCATCAATGCATCCTTTTTCTTCATGTTCCTTGGGTTCATTAGATTCTTCACTTCCATTTTATATTTATTATCTCCCATTCATCTCTTCCATTTTTGTATTTGACTTTGCATCTGGCAGTTTTGAACCTTTCTGACACAAGGAGATATTGATTTTATACTTCATGTTTTCTTGGAGTCTTTTACACTCATTTCTTTGTGTTGGCAAAGCCAACAGAAAACACTGTAGAAACACTTTACCAGTAAATGGAACTTTATCTTTCAAGCTTCTTGTAATTTTTTCTTCTATAAACAAGAAATTTCAAATATTAAGCAAATAGTTCTAAAAAGTATTGAATTAATAAGAACTTACAGAAAAACTAGTAAGACTTTTGATTGGAGTGATCCCATTCCTATTCACACTGTTGAAAAATGTCAAATAACTTTCATTAAAAATGAATCATTTGTGTTAAGAAACATTTTTCAACTTCTTTGTAAAGTTTTTGTACAGATTAGGCTTAAATGTGTCTTTATTAGGCAAACAATATTGCAAAATCTCTACTTTTACAAGGATAAAATTTTTGAAGTATGGAAATCATTAATAGTTTATCATTTTATGCATCTTTTATATGCAAAAACCTACTTCAGGTCTGCCATTATATTTCTTTGCAAAATGTATAGGTGAATCTTCATCAGTTTTATTTCCTGACACTTCACATGTCTTCAGAAGCACATAAGTTTAATTTGTGTAGTCAAAAATGACAACTTTGCATGTTATTCATGTCTGTTGCTAAACAATGTATATTGAACAAATGAGTCTGTTGCAATTAATACAATGTGTCTAGCTCTAAATGACTATCAAACTCTTACTTTATAATCAATACCATTCACAACAAGTAGTACATTTGTAAGCATTTTTATACCTTTACATATGAATATTACTTAAGTTTATTTTATCAGCAGTAAGTATATTGTAGCTCAGATATATAATAATAGCTTTAAATTGAATGGATCTTCCTGATGTTTTGTAGACTTCTTTATTTCTATATTTCTCATTTTCAATATGTAAAATGCTCATGAATAATTGTGTGCATCTACTGTATCTAAACTTTACAAATATATTATTGATTTCTTTGCTTTTTTGCTTTGTTTTGTGCTACAAGTTTTTGGGTGTGACTTATTGTAATATATATATATTAAAGGCAAATGGCCATGTATTCTAAACATAGTGCTTAAAACATTTTATAACCATGAGATACTACTGTTCATGATTTGTGAACATCCAGGTTTTATAGAGCTGTTATGTGAAAATAGGAAATGTCTGAAAGATGCGTTTTAAATAGCATTTCATGAAATAAATTTATTTTTGCTGTCTTCTTTAAGTTTGACCTGCCATTTAGTTTGTTATCATCATCTAACTCTAAAGGCTGGTAGGAAAAATTATTTAGAATGTAATTAAAAAGTTTAAATAAACTCAGATACTAAAATATTAAGTTATTTATACTTTTTCTTTACAGTGTGTAAATGGCTTGTGATTACCATAACAAGAACTCCTTTTTGTGCCCCTCCAGAAGTTTTCCGCTTGCTACGTGTGGTAAAGTCTGTTATTTTCTTGTTTTAGATCATGATTTCCAGAAGTATTTTGTATATTTTGCTCATTATTTTCTATTTGGTAGTGACTAACATAGAAGCAAAAGGACGTCATGTAGAAAATTCCTCATTTATGACTGAGACCTTAATTCTTTTCACACTAGTACAGAGAATAGATAGCCAAGTACAATTTTTTGTTTGTATACCTGATGTTTCTTAGCCCTCCAACTTTTTAATGATATGGATAATGTCTAGATTAAGAAATTATAAAGATCTGTTTTATATAAATGTTTTACGTCTTGCATAATTTATCACTACTTCATCTGAAACATTAAGGACGTTTTGAGTAGATTATGTTGTTTTTTTCCAGACATGTTGCCAAAAAAAAAACAGAATTTTCATTTTTTATGACAAATCTTTAAGGCTGTTGTTATATAAATGGGCTTTTCAGTTTTTTTCAGTCATAGTCAGTTGTAAGGCCAGTTTAAAAGGAATTCTCTTTAAGATTGAGATTGTCTATCCATGTTTAATTACACAGTTTCCCTGAGCAGGTTCCCACCTTTTTATATATGTTATGAAAGCTAATTCTCAGAAATATGATAATTTTATTACTATATTTACTTTATCTTGACCATTCAG